ATTATTAAAATAAAAATGAAAAAAATAAATTAAAAAGATAAAGATAAAATAAGTCAAAAAAGAAAAAAAAGAGATATCGTCTCTTTCAGTTCTTCCACGCAACCCACCCCCATTTAATTTCTTTTTCCTATTACCCCCCCCTCCCCCCCCGCACTCCACCCCACCCAACCCCCACCCCACCCAACAAACACCGCACCCCTCCCTTTCCTCTTCCCTTTTCGATTATTTCCCCCTGTATGCTTCTTCTTCTTCTTCCCCGCCCCAACCCACCTCCCCCCAAAACAACCCCGGCTCTTCCCTTTTCGATTTTTTCCCCTGTATGCTACTTCTTCTTCTTCCCCACTCCCCCGCTCGTCCCTTCCAAAAAAAAAAACTCAATCTCTAGAGTTCCCTTAAACATCTCTGTATTTCTATAGTGTCATTTTTTACTACTCTTGAATCCTGAACAAGTCAAAAATATACTAAAGGGGCAGCGGGTATTAATTTTTGAGCTAAACGAATAATGGACCATTGAACTTCTTCTCCGCCACCTAACGCCTTCAACCATGGAAATGGACCACCGAACTTCTTCTCCCACTTTTCGATCTAGAAAAAAATAATAATTTTTCCTCGGTTTCTTTTCTTTACATATTTTAATATTATTTCTACAATATAAAGGGAAAAATTGGAAGGGGAAAGGAGGAAGAACACGAAGAGAGAGAAACAAGATGGGCAGGAGAAAGAACGTGAGGGGAGAGAGAAATCAATGAGGGTGGGGATTAGGGAATTAATGTTTGAATTTTATTTTTTATTTTTTTATTTTAATTATTTTTAATCTACCATGTGACATGGCATCTACACATTGTTATTTTTGACGTGGCAACCAACGTGGAGGAGATTGTATTACACGCACTGGCAGCCTCCTGTCATAAGCGTTTATTATACACGGTTTGAAGGAGTGTAAGGGTTCAATTGGCAAATTGTCAAGTTTGGGGACCGACATGACAAAGTGGCATAAGTATAGGTGTCATTTAGGCTATTCTGCCTTGAAAAAACACTAACAAACAAGAAATTAATTACTACAAAGGTTACAGCCTACAGCCGCAGCGCTGTGTGTTATATTACAGCTTGTTTGGATGGTTGTTACGCATCGTTTCATAATGTATCGTATCGTACTGTATTGTATTATACTGTATCAATTGATAAAAACAATGTTTGAATAGATTGTGTCGTTTGCCATCGTTTCATGATATCACACACCAACAATATGAAGAATAAACTTATAATATCATAAAGAAAAATTATGATACGGGGTAAAATTACTATATAAAAAGGTAGGATAAATGATAAAAATAAAATTATTTAATAATAATAAAGGGTGAGATTGAGAGAAAAACACAAGGTAAGGACGCGACCACACCAAATCGGTCGTTACATAAAGTGACACATTTCGTCGTTAAGTAACGACGGATTTAACGATACGATACAATAAAATTTAGTAAAAATAGCACGGTCTAGCCAGTTTTCGGACTGATCATTCAAAAATAGCCAGCGTTTACCAAGTCAATGAAAAATAGCCACTATTTTGCTGCAACAGAGACCGGTCCAGCATAATATACTGGAGTTCGGTGCACCTGTGTATGAACTTCCAGCATATTATGCTGGAACACCAACACACGGAAAGTTCCAGCATAATATAATGGAGATTCGAGCACTTATGTATGAACTTCCAGCATATTATACTGGACCCATATACTTGTTGGAACTCCAGTATATTAAGCTGGAGTTCTAGTGTACTTATGCTGGAACTCCATCATATTATGCGGGAGTTCCAGCATACCTATCCTGGAACTCCAGTATAATATGTTGGAGTTCAAGTATACTGGAACTCCAGCATAATATACTGGCATATTTTTTGGGTTTGGAACAGTATTTTCGCTCAGATTTATCTTTATATGAAAAGTGGCTAAATTTTGATTACTTTTGAAAATGAGCTATTTTTTAAGAACCACTTGTAAATCTGGCTATTTTGAATTTTTCACTAACAATCAAAATAAATATTAACAAATATTATATTTAAAGTAACAATAACAGTAACAACCATCCAAACAAGCTGTTATTTACAGAAAGCACATGACACAATGGCTGTAGAAGAGAGCTCAATTTTCTCTGATAATTCCTTCCCCTTTGTCCCCACCACCTAATAGTACCTCCTTTCAAAGCTCATCAGCCAAGCCCTAATTTTCAGCCTTTTCTCTTAACTATTTCTTCATCTTTGCATAGGTAAAAATTTCTTTCTTTTGGGAAATTTTCTGATTTCCTTTATGGGTTTTGATGTATTGATGTGATCCTTCAACCCCTTTTCATTTGGTATGCTGTGCCACTTTCTGGAGGATAATAATGCAAAAAAGATTCAATTTTTGAGGTTTTAACTATTTGGGTTCTTTCTTTTTTTTCTTTTCTTGGATAGCTGTGAAAATCCTGTTGAATTCGTTGATGAATGATGCGTATCAGTCTGAGAGCAATTTTCAGCTGTTTGTTAGTGAATATTTCTGTTGTTTCATGCTGAATTTCAATTTCTCGAAAGCTTAATGCAATCTTTTAGTCCAATTTCTTTTCAATCTGAATTTACCTTTTTTTGTTTGCCCAGTTAGCTTGTTGTATCCTTACTAGGTCCAAACTTCATTTTTCCAAAGTTTCTTTGTTTAATATAACTTAGTGCTTATTGGAATCAATAGGACTGAACAGAGGATAGTGGAAATAGAAGATTAATATTGTTGACCCTAACAAGTTTGGGACTGAGGTCTAGTTGATTGATCTTTTTCACTCTTTCCCTTTTCCCTTTATGATGCTAGCTGAATTTTATGGTTTTGTGGAATTTTAGTAGGAGGCATGCACTGAATTGTTATGATGCTAGCTGAATTTTATGGATTTGTGGCATTTTAATAGAAGCATGCATTGAATTGGTGGGTGCAAGTTATCAAGGTTGCAGCATAAAAAGGGGAAAGACTAATGGGTGGCGTATTGAGTCGGAGTAATCACAAATCTAATGTGGGGGAGCTCATTGAGGGTTCCCAAAGTGCATCATGCAAGAGACAAAGGACATCAGATAGCTTCTGGGAGCATAGTCCACGGTTGATTCCGAGTCTGCCCGATGAGATATCTATTCAAATCCTCGCCAGACTTCCTAGAATACACCACTTAAGTGCAAAATTAGTTTCGCGGAGTTGGAAAGCTGCTGTGATGAGCTCTGAACTTTATAGGTGTAGAAAAGAACTTGGAACGACCGAAGAGTGGCTCTATCTCTTGACAAAGACCGACGGTGATAAGCTTTTGTGGTATGCTTTTGATCCAATCTCCATAAAGTGGCAAAGGTTGCCACCAATGCCTGCAACAGCAGTCAATGATGAACCTAAAAGTGGTTTATCTGGACTTCGGGCGTGGAACATGGTGGGTTCCAGTATCAGAATTGCTGATGCCATAAGGGGTTGGCTTGGTAGGAAAAATGCTCTGGATCAAGTTCCATTTTGTGGTTGTGCTATTGGAGCTGTTGACGGATGCCTCTATGCACTTGGAGGATTCTTTAGAGCTGCGGCCATGACATCTGTTTGGCGGTATGACCCTATTGTAAACTCTTGGAATGAAGTAAGTCCCATGTCTATTGCGAGAGCTTATTGCAAGACAGGTGTCTTAAATGGAAAGCTTTATGTAGTAGGAGGTGTTACTCGGGATCGTGGTGGACTTACTCCCCTTCAATCTGCTGAAGTATTTGATCCTCATACTGGTATTTGGTCTGAAGTCCCGAGCATGCCATTTTCAAAAGCTCAGATGCTACCCACTGCTTTTCTTGCTGATCTACTCAAACCTATAGCTACCGGGATGACATCTTATCAGGGGAAACTATATGTTCCTCAAAGTTTGTATTGCTGGCCTTTTTTTGTTGATGTTGGAGGAGAGGTGTATGATCCCGAAACAAATGCATGGGTTGAAATGCCAATTGGCATGGGAGATGGCTGGCCTGCCAGGCAGGCAGGAACAAAGCTGAGTGTCACTGTTGAAGGAGAGCTGTATGCATTGGATCCTTCTACTACTCTAGATAGTGCTAGAATAAAAGTTTATGATCATCAAGATGACTCATGGAAAGTGATTGAAGGAGATATACCCATTAACGACGATTCAGAGTCTCCTTATCTTCTTGCTGGTTTTCTTGGAAAGCTCCATGTGATCACTAAAGATGCGAATCACAATATCATGGTCATGCAAGCTGATAGGCAAAATCATTCAGTTCCTTCTCCATCAACCTCATCAAATAAAATTGTACATGAAGTTCCAGAACTGGTTTTAGGATCTGAAGCGAATATGTGGAGAGTTATTGCATCGAGAAGTGGTGGATCTGCAGAGCTGGTTAGCTGCCAGATCCTTGATGTATAGTTATGTCACATAAGGTTGTGATTCCCCTTGTTTTGATGTTGCCTTTCTGTATTTTCCCTCAGTTAATACAACCAGATAGTTTATGATGTACGTGAAGCTCAGTCTTGAGGAAACAGCAACACTGTATATTGCAGCCTCCAAACATATATATATTTCCACAGAGATAATATAATTCGGCTAAAGTATGTTGTATGATCTTTGTGCATGTCTGATCAGGTACTTGTTTTGTGGTCGGCAAAATAGATCCTTTAGGCACTTGATTTATCATGCAGCCATGGAAAGAACTTCAATTATATGTGTGTGCTAATGTAAAGATGCTCCTCTTTTAATCAACTTTAATAAGGGCAATATGCTAATGGTGAATGAAATTATACTGTTTTCGCCAATCATCTATGAGTTCTCAAAAGAGAGCATTGCACACAATAGACTGCTTTATGAACTATATATATAGAACTGTTTCCAATTAATCTTTTGTAGACTGATATCAATCTTCTACTTCTCTGATGCTTTTTAGCGAGATATCTGAAGCATCGAAAATTTTCTTTCCCGTTATCTGGCATTCACCAATAAACTTTCTTGAAACACAAAAATTGGCAGGCAACTGAAAATTTTAGTACTGTAAAGTTGTGTGTTTATTTGTCTAACAAACACCCACTATCTGATACATCCAGAAAAAGAAAATACATTTGTGCTTCCACAGCCATTCCTGCTGTGGATTAACTTCACATTCAAACCTGTAAAAATGACTCAGTATACTATAGACATTCTGATGTCATCAAAATTCCTGACATACAAATATAAGCTTAAAAATGAAAAAGAAGGAAAATAATATGCACAAAGATGAAAATTGGGCAATTACAAATACAACGAGGATAATGAGTCCTATATGTGCTGCTGGCAGAATTGCAGGAAGATCGATCATCTTGGCCCTGATAACTCATCAGGTCGTAGATTATAAGTGGAGTCTGCGATAATCCAATCAGTGTGAGGGTGGTGAGCAGGATAGTCCTGACGGACCATCTCCTCTTTCTGCCATTCTTCCCACCTCTCAGCTAGGCCATCACCTTCAAGCATTCTCACCACTTCTGACATCTTTGGACGTTCCATTGGCGAGCTCCCTGTACAGAGAAGAGCTACCCGAATAAGCTGTTCCACCTCTTCTTCTTCGTAATTACCTTGAAGATCTGCATCTACTAATGTTTCATACTTCTTGTCCTTCAGAAGTCCCTTGACCTGAAATTTCAGCCAATGTTTCGAGGTCAACTAAGGTACATAACCATTCATTCATATGACTGCCATTTACAACAAAACACCTCATCACGTCACTCAATTATTAATTTCATCAAAAATAATAAGAAAGCATTCACCAAAGAAGCTATGGGAGACTGAGAAGACAGAAAATCGGAGAGCATGAGGCTCCTGATTCTCTGCTCATATTTGAATCACATTGAATTTCCAAGTTTGATAGTCACTTGTCTTTCATTTTTCTAATAGTTCAAGTTACTTCAACCACAGTGAAACGCTTGCCGTCCTCTCTTTCACTCCTCAAGGAAGAGTTCCTTTTCTCGAGGATCCTCCCAAAGGAGTCCCCTTTCGCTAAGTGTATCTTTACCCCACCTACATTCCAATGCAACACTAACCAAATACAGAGGAAATAGCCAAGCAATTCAGTACAAAAAAAGAATATATATATATAAATAGTTCTCTCTGCATAAAAGTGACAGTCAATTTGGCATGGAAGGAGTATCTGAATCTTCCGATGCAGGGATAAGCAAGATAAGTGTTTCTGCTAACCAAAGGGAGAAAGAGATTTTTACACTAAAGATCAATTGTCGAACAATCTGCTATTATAAGATAATAAAACTTATCCACCCTGACCTTAACGCAAATGTGACAAACATTTTAGCAAGAAATGGTTAGGTTCTAGAAAAACAAAGAAAATACAGAGTGTGCATAAATCCAAGTCACATGCATAATATTATTTTGGAAACCTGGATGTTTTGAATGATCTAATATCAAAAATAACTGAAATCATACATGCTAAACTGCAAAGTAAGCCCTGCTAGAGCTCACAATAATTTTTTTAGAAGGTAAAGCTCACAATATAAATCCATACTTATTACTTTAGACACAAATTCACAGCCTTGAGACTTGAGAGAAGAAAGAAAGAGAGCTATGAGCTTGTATTATGTGCGTAAAAGAGTGAGGGAGATGAGAAGAATCTGAGATTTGTCATTGAGGGGAGTATAGTGGATGTGGGTTAAATACAGGGGTAGGGAAGGGAGAAAAGGGCAGAAATGGGATTGGGGATATAAGAGAGAAAGGCAGGGGAAGGGGCGTGACAGAGTCGCTTACTCGCTTATCTGCTCGTCCCCATTTGGCGTAGTAGGGTTGTTGTCTGTATGATTTGGAACTAATGATAAGAAATGATGTAGGTTTTACAAATCAGCTTTTCGTCATGTTGGGTACAGAAGCGATGGTGTTCTGCTTGTAGGCAGACAAATGCAGGAAAGTGGGTCTCTCTCACCTGTGCTCACTTCCATTTTAAAAGTCAGTGGCACGACAAAAACTGGCAATTACAAAGAATATCAAGCTTTGACTTATAAAAGAGAAGAGAAAAATGATTGAGGTCTCCAGAATTAATCAGAAAAGATCTACAGATAAGCTAGAATTAGAACAACTAGAGCATGTACAGAAGTTAGTAAATGCTTACCCAATCTAGCAACATGACATCATCATCATTTGCAAGTCGAGCAAGATCAAAAGCCCGTTGCCCAGTTATGAGCTCTAGAAGCATAACTCCATAGCCAAACACATCCGTTTTCTCTGAAGATTTACCAGTGGATAAATACTCGGGGGCGATATGCCCAATTGTACCACGTACAGCAGTGGTAACATGAGTATCCTTGTAGTCCATGAGTTTGGCTAACCCAAAATCCCCAACAACTGCTTCATACTCCTCATCCAACAATATATTTGCAGCTTTGACATCACGGTGAATGATCTTAGGGTCGCAATGATCATGTAAATAAGCAAGGCCTCTTGCAGATCCAAGTGCTATACGCTTCCTTATTGACCACTCGAGTGGTGGATCTGATTCTGGTCGCTCTACAAGAATGTCAATTTCCCCGTAAGAACAAATTCAGGATGTTAAGTAAACTAGTGGCAATTTCCTATTTTGGCTTGAAGAGAATTTACTTATTGGTAGTGTGTGCTTCAAGCACAACTGAGAATTACTTTCTATTCCTGACACTACGAATTTAGATGATAAAACTTGAACAGATATCATAATGTTTGGTAGACATCAAGGATGACAACACTTGTGAAATTGCTTGATAGAAGACGAGTAAAAAGAAACATCAACTTCGCACTAGGATTTCATACTCATAATTATAACTCACTAACTACTAATACAACCACTACAATATCAAATAATGTCGAGTTTACACAATGATCTACACCTCTGCAGTAACTTCTCCAAATTTATCACTAGACCATAACTTAATTCCAAAAAAGAATAAATAAACATTTTTCTGAGAATGAAAAAAGAACAAATAAATAAACATTGTTATTGGTTTTTAGCTTTTTCGAGTGCTTGAGCTGATGTATTTTGACTAAATGAAGGAGGAATAGAAAAAGAAATGCAGAAAATTCCAGACTAAGAGATACCTCTTAAGCGCGAAGCAACACTTCCATTCGACATATATGGATAAACAAGCAACCGTTCAGTTGCTGTCATGCAAAAGCCCAATAAACGAAGTAGATTTCGATGCACAGCCATGCTAATCATTTCTACTTCTGTCTGAAACTGTAACTCCCCGCCTTGAGTACGCTCTTCTTTTAATCTTTTAACTGCAACTAAAGAGCCATCAGCCAACCTACCCTTGTAAACCTTGCCAAATCCTCCTCTACCAAGTATATTCTTGTTGCTAAAATTGTCTGTTGCAACTTGTAATTCGCGCAAGGAAAACCTCTTGAGTTGTCCAAGATGAACTTCTGGATCCTCCTCAGCTGCAAAACAAGATAAAATTGTGAGAACACATTAAATTAAAATTAAAAACAAAAAACTAATTCAGATGTTTGATTGAGGCCTCCCACCAGGAACATCAAAGAAGTGATCTTGTGGTTTCCTTCGACGCCACCAAGCAAGCAAAATTGCAGGAGCTGCAAACAGAAGAGCAGCCCCGGCAGCAACTCCTCCAGCAATCGCCCCGGTTGCACTGTTGCCCACACCTAGGAGTTTCCAATTTTTAAGTGGTTATAATTGTTTGATGGATGACTAAAACTTAACAAAGACAGTTCTAAACTTCTAAGAAAAGGGATATTGTAGTTTCACCATTAGCACTCAAACCTAGGAATATGTGGCTCACACCTAGGAATATGTTGTAAAGTTAACGTGCAAACAAAAGAAAAAAGATGCAGATTTAGGTTGGTATCCCTCAATTTATTTACATCAATCCGGTAACTGTTTGTTATTTGGCCTCTTCGTGGTGGTGGTTTATGTACAGCACTAACGGAAGACAAGGATAACTTTGGACAACATTCATGGTCGGATTTTTCTCCCCCATGTTGCTGGTAAATGCACAGCAACAAAATTCTCACCAAAGCTTTGATACTATGTGGAACAAGAGACATGGGGAACGAATTTGAGAGAAAGCACGACGATAAATTTCTTATGTTTGGGTCCTTTTATAGTCAGAACATTCAATGTATATAGTTACATCCTGGATGTCGTACGCTTCTGTATTCACATGTAAGTCTAATCCATTTACACTATCTATCTAGCAGTAGATAATCCCAAAATCACCTGTAAAATACTTATCTCGCTTATAATCTGTTTGGCCAAACTTTTGAAAGATCAAAAGTGCCTTATATAAATAAATAAATAAACTTATTTTAGAGAATAAAGGTGTTCGGCCAAGCTTTTGGTGAAGAGATAAGTGCTTTTGAGTAGCAGAAGCAGTCTTTAAGCTTTAAAGCAGAAGCTCAAAAGTAGCTTCTACCAAAAATAATTGCTTTTGATTTTGCAAGACAAGAGTACCCATTTCAAAAATTTATATTTACCAAATTACTTAGTACGTAACTTTCTAGTTTTTAGAATTATCCATTAAGTTTCATATTGTTATTTTATCTAGGAGGTGTGAGAGGTTAGCCCTGGTGGGTGTATGGAGAAGTAGAGGTAGGCCAAAGAAGTCTTGCGGAGAGGTGATTAGGCGGGAAATGACACAGCTAGAGCTTACTGAGGACATGACCCTTGATAGGAGGGTGTGGAGGTCGAGGATTAGGGTAGAAGGTTAGTAGGTAGTCGAGCGTTTCCCTAAACCGCCCGCTTCCATAGAACAATATCGTGGCAACTTAGACCTAAGTGGTCATATTGGATCCTTGGGATTTGTCTTCCTCAGTTCGATAGCATTAGCGTTAGTATCATTTTATTCTTAGATTGTTATTACTACCTATCGTTTAATTGCTATCTTGGCTTCGGTTTTCTTAATATCTTGTGTTGTTACTACTTGTTGTCACTGCTTCTTTCATCTTTTCTTTGGCCGAGGGTCTATGGGAAACGTCTCTATCCTCCCAGGGTAGGGTAAAGCTGCGAACATCCTACCCTCCCCATACCCCACTTGTGGGAATCCACTGGGTTTATTGTTGTTGTTTTGTTATTTGATCTATGTTATACTATCAGAAACCTAAGTTACAGAAATGGTTAAAGTGAGACCATTACATACATAAGATTATGTGCGCTGTTGGAAGTAGGATTTGATTCTTAAAAAGGAAGAAGGTTGTTTTGTTTTATTTTTTGAGCCAATTATAGGATTCAACGCACATTTTGCTCTATTTTCTTTGACATCAATATTATGTGAGTACCGGTAATATTCTTTACATGAATTTTTTTTTGTAATTTTTGGTTTAGATTTGCTCCTCTACTTATTTGGTAGGCATATTCCATAAAGAAGTTATATTTAAGAGTTGGTAAACCAATAAAAAATAAGAAATCATATTATGCAGGCTCATTCATCAATTTAAATAATATTAATATTTTAAATAATGCTCATATCTTATTAAAAATATAACATTACTTTATTAACATAAATAAGTGTTGAACAAATTTAACAATTATTATAATATGCAAATGAAAGCTTTTAAAAGAAAGATCTTGTTAGGGGCTCATTTCTTGCCCTAAAGCAGTCAGCCCTTCCCCTTCCTTCTTCCCGATATATCCTCACTCCTAGTGATCAAGGGTAAAGGTCTTTTACCAAAGAAAATAGGAAAAAGGGGAAAACTGTGAGATGCCAAAGCTTCTTAACCCATAAAAGCATAAATTATTTTCAGCAAACCTGAGGAAGAAGTGGGCGTCGGAGAAATAGGAGGAGGTGGAGCAGCTGGAGGAATATCCAATGGATTATTAGCAAAACTGAAATATTGACACTCAGATATTAGATTTTCTTTATCATGATTCCAGTGACAGAACTTATGTATAAACTAGTGCTTTTTGCAGACCTGATAGGAGTGAAAAGTGAAAAGGAACCATTGACTGGAACAGGTCCTGTTAAATTATTGTTTGACAGATCACTGCATTGAGAGAAATGACCATTAGCACCTAAAGATTTAGAGACACTGATAGTGAAAAGAGCACATGATAAAAAAGGCACCAGCTTTATACTTACAGCACTTGAAGTGAAATGACTGTGGTTAGCAACATGGGAATACGTCCATTCAAACTGTTATTGTTAAGCCTCCTTCAATTTGGCAAAGAAAAAAAAAAGAAAAAAGTTAGACCAAACTTAAGCAGACAGGACTCAGCTGATTTATCAGTCCATTTGTACCATGTAGATGGTAAATACTTGAGTAATGAAGAAAAACTAGTAATATCAGAAGATGCTACAAAATTCATGTCCAATATCCCAGAAAGCTTTTTGACACTGTTTCAGGTTGAGTTTTATGTGTATATACAATCTTCAGGAATTATCAACATTCTCAGGCTTTCAGGTAATAAGAAGAATAGCATGATATCCTGTTAAGCAACGGCAGTGAGCCTTATACAGAGCAGCAACCGCAATTTTATCGACCACTCATATCCACCTAACTTTTTGCCAGCCTATATAAGGAAAATAGGAACAATGCCTAACAAGAATTAATGGACAATTGCGAACAACGTGTGATGCACAGGACACAAATTTCATTGTCAAGTACTGGTGTCAGACACACATCGAGCACGTGTGAGTCTAGTTTTCTGTAACTTTTTCTTGAATTCTCGGACACGCATGTCCTCCATTCGGACACCCGAAGACACCCAGTTTCGCTAGTGCTATGAGCGCCTTCAGGTTTTCTTCTTCCGCATCCTCTTCCTCTCCCTCTATATGAATAATATAAGCCACAGAGAAAAATTATGTTTAGAAATTATGATACTGTCTCCAATTGGCCTTGATACTTCAGGTGTTTGAAAATTTCATGTCTTCATGTCGACATGTCTGCTACTTGGTCAATAAAGAGCAAAGTCTATCCCCATTATCCAAATAACTAAACAAGAGAAATGAAGGTTTGCTCTGACAGCACAGTTTTGCTCTAAACTATTAGCAACTTTCACTTTTGCTAAAATAGTAGGTGCTATTTTTGAGTAAGCAAAATCTTCAGAAAATAAAAGTTCAAGGCTTAAGAAACTATTCAGCAAAAGAAAAGAAGACCAAAAACAAACACACAGTAAAAGAGGCAAAAGGATGTATAACTCATACAGGAAACGCAGTTTCTGAAGCTTGCCCAATGTGTCAGGGATTGGACCATTTAACCTGTTCAGGTAAAGATCCAAGCTCACCAAATTCGTCAAATTCCCCAGTTCAAAAGGAATTCTTCCACTTATATTATTACTATAAAGTTCCCTGAAATTAGGAAAAGAGGTCGTAAGCAATTAGTTCAGCAACTTCCTGACCACACAATCTGCAAAAACAAAGGGCTATCACATAAGCCATAACATAGCAATGTAGCACATTAAAAGTTAAGAAGTGCATCCACACACTACACCTTTTGAGAGAGAAAAAGGAGGTTCACAATGAGTTTGAAGTGAAAAAGAGAACATTTGCAGCGGAGGGGATTCTCTCCATGGAAATAGTATCCATTACTGCTTACAGCAGCTCTCAGTTCACTCACTCATCTTGCTACTTCAAACAAAAGTTATGAAAGGAATCCATCCAACTTTTAAGTTATTTCACAGGATACAGCTTTTACAATCTACAGATAGGATTATCATCATGATAAAGGAAATGAAGAAGTCTCCGGACCAATTTGAGAGTGGCACAATCCACTATCAGCTTAGCAAAAAAGAAATGAAGCAATATGTAGAAAGTTTTAAGTATTCTATGTTCAACGGAATCACCAGCATATGGATTTGTTAAAATCAATATAATTGAAGCAGAAGAGGTGTTTTCCTATCAACTTCCATTGGCCAACCAATTCAAAGGTGCATAAGATAAAAAATTTGTTAACCAAAGTGGAAGTACAATCACGACACATTTCTTACGAATTAACTCAGAGAAAATATTCCCAACCAGAATAAAGAAATGATACATTTTGGCATGACAATTTGGAAAACATGGAAATTATTAATACTAGAAACTCATAGCCTAATAGTGCAAACTCAGAAGGACAAATAGAATGTGCGTCTACTGTCAAATAAATCCCCTCCTTCTCAGTCTAACTAAGCTTGGACAACTGAAGTTTAGAAAAGTGCATTATAATACTTGTTTTATAAGAGAAGTGAATTCACATAGTTTGTTAATATAGAATAATAGCTGAAATATCTGGAAATCGGGACTATCATTGCAGTAATTTAATTCTTGAACGTTGTAACTTTGCCATTTGAGAGGAGGTATTATGTAGATTTAGACAAATTAAAAGAAGTGCATCATCTTGGATCAAGGATATGTAGGTATATCCACTAGATACATTCTAGTACCTCTAGAAAAATAAGATGAACATTTTCTCTTAATTAGGGTGCGGATATCAAGTCAACGGAGCAAATCAAAGTTCCCTGACAAGTTCAGTAATGTTCAATAATCCATCCATACAAGAAACAACATATCTTATCGTGCCCACTCAACGCACATAAAGCATCACCAACATAATTGAAAGTGGTACTCACCATATCATAATTTCTCGACCAGAAGAATAAAAAATAAGGATTGTCAGGGTTGAATATAATTAAAAGCTACTGCACCATATACTAGTGAATATTGAATGAAGCAGAAATTAACCCTTACAATTTCCATATTCCCAGTCCTTGAGTTAGATCATTCATGATATTTGAATAGATTTATCGGTTCCTACGAACAGCTATACACCAACATTAAGTCATTAACTTTCTTGGTACCTATTTAGGATTATTTCAAACTTATCCAAGCACAATGACACAATCTACTCGGAGTACACAAACACTAGTGACTTAACACAGTTATATAGATGAATATATCACATGTCCATTATGACAATTTGCTAATAAACTACAAGCCAAGGAAACAGAAATACTACATAAAGCCGGTTCTATTATCACGAAAGTTAACTTACAAGTACTGCAAATTCGGGAGTTGACCAAGCTGTGGAACGAGTTGACCCGACAAATTTGCATTTCCAAGATCACTGCATGTAAAACAAACGGAGCTAAAATTGATAAATGAACCCCATAGCATGAAAAATCAGGAAAGAACCTAGGTTTTTCTGTAGCTTACACTCTAGTTACACTATTCTCACTGTTGCAGGTCACATGAAACCAAGTACAAGGATTGACAAGGGTTGGATCCCAACTCTGTAAAACATTGTTAGGATCAGCCAAGTTGGTCTTCAGCGCATTCAATGCATCACCTGCCTTACATGAAGTGGTTAATAATCAGTAATTAGCTTATCCATGTACCTCCTCAGTAATTAATAAGCATTAATAGTTCATCACTTTATAAAGGCTGTTTCTTCAATAAAATTAACCTCCTTATTGTTAAATAAATAGCTTATCCAAGCACATTAAACTAGCAACTTTTCTATTATTAGCTATACTCAAACTGGTCTTTTTCTGCACTACCCCCCCCCCCCACCCCCACCCCCCAAACAGGAAAAAACCCATATCTAAGCAATAACTATGAGAACACAATGATTCATAAATTAAGCTCAGAATAAGATTAATTAACTGCAATTCAACTGTTTAATGCAATGAATATACCCATTTTAACTGCAATTATTAAACAGTCAATCTGTTTAAGCAAAGAAAAAGCAGAAAGTCAACATCTTTTCAACTTAATATGAATCAAACAATCTGAAAATGTAAACTCAAAAGAACAGACCTTCAATATTAGCGGAGACAGGAACCAACAGCAGCCCAATTAAGCAAAGAAAAGCTGAGACAAAGCCCAAGATCCCCAATATCCATTGATCCATTACTCCACCCAGTCCAATTCACCACAACCGCCACCACCTAAAACTTAGATTTTCCTCATTACAAATCACCCACAGCTTCACATACTACTCCACATCTTCAACAGTCAAAAACCCAGAAAAAGTAATCAAAACCCTAATCCCAAAAGAAGCAGAGAACACAGTATAATTGAAGCAAACGTCACAAAGAGATCAACAAAAAGCTTCAAGAAAAGATTTTTTACTTTCTTGAACTTTCTTGGAAAATTGAGAATGGCATATAAATCACAGAGATTGAAGAAACTGTAATAATGGTTCTCTTGCTGTGGTTCTTTTTTTTTTTTTTTTTTGGTTAAAGTTCAATAATAATATGGAATAGTAGTATATAATAAATTTCAACGGTCTAAGGGGAAGAATGGTGATAGTCGTCGTTGCAGAGGAAGAGAGAGAGTTGGTCAAAGGTTGTGCTTTGCTTTCACAGTTGTCTATTCTATTTGGAAAAAAAGAGCATTAATAGTGCTGTTCGGTTTAACATTTTATACATTTCAGTTGGTAAATTTGACCCAAAAAGAGTATTATCGTATAAAAGAAAATTATTATACAGTTTCAGAACCAATACCTTAAAATACTTAAATTAGTTAAACAATAGATTTATTACATTTAAGGCTCTTTTGGTATAATGGATAAGAGATAATTAATTCCGAGATTAAATTTTATCTCATGTTTGGTTGGGATAAAATCGCAATATAATTAATCCCGGGATTGTAGCGTTTTTTATCCATATGGGAGGGTGGGATACTAATCCCGAATAATTAATCCTAGGATAACTTATTTCCAACCAAACAACCCCTTAGTGTCTCGATCGCACGATACTGATTATTACTTACTTTGACCTACAACTAGGGGTGTCAATGGTTCGGTTCGGTTGGTTATTTTATAAATTTTGTACCATACCAATTTTTCGGTTATTCTATTATGTATAACCAAAATTAGACTTTTCGAAACTGTCCCAATTGTATCGGTTCCTCTTCGGTATTGGTACGGTTCGGTTAATTTTCGGTATTTTTTTATAAATATAATATAAAAGTCACTAGTCGAAATAGAATGCAATAACATACATACTTTTATAGGACTTAACAAAACTCTCTAGATATTTTTACATTTTAAAGGGTGATGAATTAAGAAAATATAAAAGATGGCTAGAGTATAGATCCATCAACTACTCAACAACAACATAAAAGAAACTAAACAAATTAATATAAAGAAAATATAAATCACACGAGTGGAAAGATATTAACCAAGCTGGGACTGAGACTCAAGAAAAAAGTCTATAGAAGATTAAATATTCAAAAAAAAAAAACATATTAAATCATACGAAAGGAAAAATCAATACATTGTAGTTTGCTACTCATAACAGCTACAATACCTTGTGTCTCGCTAGTGAATATGCTGGAAAAAAAATTAGTTACAATGGGAGTAGCATAATAGGTTTGGGAATTATGTTTTGCGATTATTACTTGTTGGCTTGTAATTGTTTTCATAATTCCAAGACCCAAGGAAAATTTAATGTTTTATCATTTTTGAACTTAATATATAAATATATTTTTCACATGTAAATTTATTCGGTACGGTTTGGTATTTTTTCGGTTTATTTTCATAAAATAAAAAACCTACCCTAATTGTCGGTACGGTTATAGATTTATATAAAAACCTAAGGTTTTATTAAAAGAAACCTAAAAATCGGTTCGGTACGGTACGGTTCGGTCGGTTTAGTCGGTTTTTAAATATCTATTGACACCCCTACGGCTACAACAATAACTACGACAACAATAAATCCAATATAATCTCATTGATGGGGTCTGAAAAAGTTAATATGTACGAGGACTTTACCCCTGCGTACCTTGAGAAGGTATAGAGATTATTTTCGATAGACCTTCGGCTCGAAAAAGATAAAAGGTAAAACAGGTAGTAATAATAAGTAACACCAGCAAACAAATCAGAAAACTATAGCGAAAGAAACAATATGTAATAACAAAAATATAAGAATAAGACAATATAAGACTAACGCTAAATAGTGCGCACTAAAACTATAGGTATAAACAACGCAAATGATCGACTATCTAACTTTTTATCATAATCTTTGACCTAAGCTTACTTTGACCTAAAAAGAAAAATAATGTTCCTTCCTATCTTATTTTATTTAACATATTTTTATTCTTAATCTGCGGCTAAAAGAATGATATAATTTTCAATTGAACATCTATTTAAAATTAGCGTCCCAATTTTACTCTTTATGACATACTTGAATCTACTCGATATAAATACATTAATATGCAAGAGAAAATAAAAACATCTAAAATACTTTGTAAAGCAATTTATCTTATCTATCAAATGTCTTTCTTTATTTCTTATAATACTTTGTATCGAATCAAAAACCTTCTGCACAAAATGGAATAGAGTTAGTATCATTACAAGCTTGTTACCTTATATAATTAGTTTTAGATGTTTTTAGTAATTCCATATTTGTGATCGTTTTAGTAAAAAAAAAATTGTTTTGGCTATTTAGAGCAACGGGTACATTTTAAAATAAAGTTTGCGAGTTTATGATGCTTTGGTTGTTACACAAGGTTTACAAATAATTAGCTTTGAAATTACAGTACTAGTTAAGACTTGATACAATATGAGAGGAACTCAATTAATGTAATGTACTCGTCTAATTAATCCTTACTACTAAACGACAAACTAAAAAGATTATTTTTTTATTTGAGATTACCGGTCGATTTCGCTAGTATTTGCAAATTATACTAGCTATATAAAATTTTAGAGGCTGATATCCAAATTAACCTCTATCAAAATCAATTCCCTTTTATTAATTTCTTTTAATATAAATCTTATTGTTTGTACAAGATTAGAAGTTGATATTAGAAGGGAAAAAAAAGGAAAAGATAATATTTGAGGTCGAAGTTAGAAAAAGGTCTGTGAAATTTCTATTTAGATAAGGGTGTTTGGCTACGCTTATAAGTACCTTTTGGTTTATCTACGCGTTTGGTAAACACCTAAAGTGCTTATAAGCTAAAATCAGTCATAAGTTGGTCACCCTCAACTATGGCCAAAGTTTTTACTAGTTTATCCCTGACAATATTTTTGAATTCATAAAATACTTTTCCCAAAATAAATTTCCTAACTTTCTCTTTGTTCCATATTCGTTGTTCAAGCTTTTCTTTACAAAGAAATTTTTTAATTTATAATCTTTTATAAAAAAATTAAGGGTATTTTAGTCATTTTAATAAAGAACTGTTTATCAGCACTTTTTTGCAAAATACATCAACTATTATTAGTTTCAGCATGTCTATACAAATACGTAAATACTTAATTAAAAAATCAGTTTCATCACTTAAAAATGCTTTTCATCACTTCAAACTTATACGCTATTTACAATCATCTAATCCAAATGGGTTCATAGTCTTTTTAGAAAGAAAAGAAAAATATTGTGAAAGTAACATTTTAGATGACGAGTATATACTAATTATTGGTTTTTCTATTTTGTTGTCGTTGTTAAGCTAAAACGGTAAGTTTGGGGTCAAAGACGCACGCCCAATAATGGGGCCAAGCCATAGTGGGATGAATAGTGTAGGAAATAGTATTGGAAAACAGCTTTGTTCGTGCGAGTCAGTGTTTGGCTTTATCAGAATTTAATGTGTTTTTGTTCCATTTGTGGAAAAATTACCCTACTGCTTCTTCCATCTCACGTTCCATATCAACACTTGTCTCTTTTTATTTATTTCTTATTTCCGGTGGTGAAATTAATTGAAACTTTTTGTGTCCGTTGCATTTATTTATTTCCTCATTCGTCAAAACTTCTGTTCGGTGTAAGGCACCATTTTTTGGATATATACTTAGGTTTGAATAGTTTGGACATTTAATCGGAGTCATAGCAAATTATACAAATTCAAGTAACGCAGTCGAATATCAAGGGAATTGAATTCATGACTCATAATCAACTTTCCAGCAATCATTTAAGTAGATAAAGAAAAAAACGGATAAAACTTATCCGTATTTATACCAACCATATCAATTTAATATTGTTAAGTGAATTATTGAGGTAAAATTTCTAATAACCAAGTGACTTCCCTTAATAATACTACCAACCAATCAAAAATCCACAATGTTTTAGCTAATGAAACTCTTTGCTCTTTTCTAATAAACCACCCCTTGCATGCGGATGAACACCCGTCCAACCAAAACCCTCCCCAATTACAAATGGCCAATGACCATTTACACGTGCTTACCGAAATCCATGCAAAATCCCCTATTAAATCTAACACGCAAAATCTCCCTATGGACATGCAACTAGAACTAATCATTTTCCCTAGCAATCTTTAGGAGCCAATATATCCCAAACCATCCATTTCTCACCATGCCAAGAATTACTCTGAACCACTGGAGGAGATTTCGCCTAATACAAATTCCGAGAAATCAGCGACAACAAAATATGGAAAATCTTCCTCCCTTCTCAAATCAAATACCTCATCCTTCAATAATCTATGCACAACTCCACTCCCACAAGATCACCACCCTACATCATGGATAGAATTAGGGTTAATGGGGAGGGGAGTCTCTCTTCAAGTCAACATCAATGGTCAAGAGAGTCTAATCTTGATTCAAAATCTACAATTCCTTGCCCAGCTAGTGTCCGAGGGTCTTCATCTTGCGATGAACAATTATATGAATCACATCTGGGCAAACAACATAGTTCAACCTTTAGCTCCAGGGATGAACATCAACCTGGTTCAGGCCATGCGTGCCCAATGGAACCTCCCTCAACCTTTCAACAAGAATCCTTACCTACCCCAGAACATGGGGTTAGATCTTCCATTCTTCCCTCCACAAGAGCTAACTACTTTCAATCATGTCCTGATGAATTGGGACATTCCACTAGTGGACATGCAACCTTAGATGCCTGTGAATGCTCAAATGCCAGTCAACCAAGAACCACTGAACCAACAAGCACCCCACCCAGATATTTCACAAGGTTTGGGAAATCCAGCAGGGGAGGGTCTAGAGGGCAAATGGATCTAATAGGAGAATCAAAATGGAGGAATCATCAAACCTGGACGAAGTAAAAGTATTTCTATTCCAGGAAAGGCGGGAGAAGAGGCTTATTCTAGCATGTCCAAGTTCGTTATTCAAGTGCACGATGGACATGAGACCTCCTCAGGATCCCACTGTGGGGAATCTGGCAATGATACTGGTTCCCTCACTAAGAAGGAACCTAGTGTTCCCTCAGGGCAGTCAGCTGAATGGTCCCCATCCACCTCCCCTACCAATGAATCGTGCTAAAAAAACATAATTTGGAACATAAGAGGGGTAATAACGATGAATTTAGAAGAAACTTTTGTGACTTAATTGAAACTCATCATCATTGCATGGTGACCTTATTGGAGACAAGAATGGCAAACCATGGTAATCTCATGCATGACTTTGGGTTCACTGATATGATAGA